TCTGTTTTTCCTTTCACCCATAAGAAATTGATTCTGCTGCGCCCCAAAGACTAGCTAGTTGCGAGAAGTTGGGGGGAACCCGATTTCGTTCCGTTAAGGGAATGACAGTAAAGCGTCAGATAGTCGGGCGGCCAGTCATAAATGTGTGTGAAAGACACGCTTGCGCTCTTCAGAGACGCCGCACTGATCAGGCGTTTAGAGTTATTTTGGATCTCCACCGCTTCAGTTTCCTCACCCCGGTCTCTCCTCTTTCTCCACACACGCACAGACACACTCAATGCAGTTTTCTGCTTTTCTATAGAAGGAATCCCTTCCGGATGTTTTCCAGCGCAAGAAGCGCGATGAGATCTGCTTTTCTTGAATTGTCAGTGCCTTGCAGAGAAGACGTTTGTTTCTGTTCTCAGGCAGATTTCCATCCCCGCCCTTAACGCGCTCTCTGGAAGCAAGTCCCAAGGTAATCAGGCCTGGGTTAGATTAAATCCGGGCGTTAAGGGTCCGGGCAAAGGGAGTCTAAAGGGGGAGCTGGCCCAGAGGTCTTGCTCAGCGTCAACATCAGAGCAGAGACTCCGTAAGCGCCAGACGACCCTCTTCTCTGCTCCCCACTTCCCTCACCTCGCTCGCGTTCCCTTGGCAGCTCCCGAGCAAACGGGGCAGCTGGGATGAATTAGAAGTCCCGGGCTGGGCCTCGCAGGCAAGTTGGAAGCCCCGATTCCAGTAGGCAGAACAGCCTTCATCGGTGGAGCCAAGGTTTCCCACCGAATTCCTGCATTTGAGGCGAGGGAAAAGACGACCTGGGAGAGGTTCGGATGCACACCAGCCCTAGACGTAAAAAGGGGGGATTTGAACCGGGAGAGCAGCCGCGGAGTATGCCTGGAGACCACCGGATTGCTGGACAGGCAGGAGGGAGGCAAGAGAAAGGTTACAGGCTGTTGTTGGTTTAATTTTACGATGTATCCAAAAACCAGGCGTGTTCACCCACCGTTTAGTCATTCACGTGTTCCTTACGTTTTCAGTATTTCCAGTTTCCCCGTGTATATTATTGTTGCTTGTATTTTATTTTTATTCTTAAGGGGCTATTATTTTACAGATGTGTATTTATATAAACACAGTCACCACCCCAAGAAATCATACATTTGGTCACCAACGTGAATTTTGAAAACAGTCTCAGTGGGACACCCCAGATTTGTCTCTATCTGATTCTAGGCTTAGAAATGAGTGGAATTTCCTCTCAAATAAACATGCAAACAGACATACTTGTCTCTCTGTCATCTATTTATCATCTACATAGGTGTAAGTTCCCCGAACACTTTAAGCATTCCTAGAGCATTAGAATAAACAGAACTATTTAATGTACTCAATAACTCAGAAAAGGCAAAGCCAGTAGGCTGATGTCTGATCATTTCTAGTAACCAATATGCTAATGAAAGTTAGATTCTCCCTCAAACGTGATCTGCCACTAGAAAGAGGCTAATAAATTCCCATTAAGAATGCATTTATGCAGTGATTAGGTGAACTCTGACCTCTGAAGAGTTGTTGCAATTAGCCACAACGTGCAGCACCTTCAAATGTTCGGTTTTTGTGGAATCCCATGGTCCCTTCCTGCAAGCTTTGGAACTCAAATTTACTGGTGCGTGCATATACATACACACATGCCCTCAACCCAGTTAAGCCAATGCACTAAAACATGAAAAATAAAGTCTTTCATATTCAAAGAGTTGCAGATCCTGGTGGGAATATTAAATAAAAATAAAAATGCTTCAAGGGAACTTCCTGCTAACATCAACAGGACTTTCACTTCCCAGGGAAAAAATGTTTTATTTATCTCTTTAAAAGACTTTGCTGTAAAGAAATGGTGCGTCTTTCTCTTTCTCTCATTTTGAAAACTTACATGGATTTTCACTAACATTAAAGCTGAGCAAAACGAGAATAAAGAGGATGGGAAGAAGACAAAGAAGAGGAAGAAAGATGTTAGTTGAACAACTGAAGTTTTGCTTTTTTTGTTTTTTTAAAATAAAGATAAAATTGTTATCTTTAGAATAATGAACAAGAGGCTGGAAGAAAATTGTGCAGGCGCGTGTCTGTATCTGTGTATGTATAAATAATTGTTGCCTTTAGCAGTGAGCTGAGATAAACCACTGGGACTCATTCTAAAGTGACCCATCACTGAATTCATTTCTGCTTGAACTTTCGGTGAACCTGAGATTAAACCGGGGTGAGCAGCTAAGCAGTTTGTTGTTCACTGCCTTTTCAACAACCCTTTTCAGACTGAGTAAATATTGATTGCTTTCAATCTGATTGCCTAGAGGAAAACATCTTAGTGTAGCCTCTGAAACCAAACTTTAAGGTGAACATCAAAAACGGGCTTCAGGGTTTTTAAAACAGGATTCTTTTTTCTTGCCCAAAAGAAAATCAAGCCTAACTAATCCCAACTGGGTGAGCTAAGACAATATTTAAAGAAATACTTTTTAGTTATTGGCATGCAATGGGAAGATGAAGGTGGACCTATCCCAAAGTCTATCATCAATAAAGAAGAGATGTGTTAATCAATTCGTGGGTATTGATCAATTAATAGTTGGGACTAATCCATCAATTAACTGAATCACATGAATTCAGTTGTGTGGATTTGTGAAAGGAGCAACAGGCACTGAAAGGAGCACTGTCAAAGATTACACATGTTCTCTTTTAGGCAAAATACACCTTCCTACTTACTCTAAAAGAAACATTATAAACTTTGTTCTCCAGTGGAGCAGTTTTCTGACTCTCCACAGTTATATTAATCGAGTTAATCAACTAAACTCAATTCCTATACACATTTTCCTGGGAGTAACACCTACTTAGTGTTTGTGTGTGTGTGTGTG